AATTACAGGGAACACTACTGTGGGCAGGGGCAGGTGCAAGTAGGGAAGCCTGGTTCCTTGTCTCTCCTCCCATCCTCAGACCCTCCCATGGAACCTTCTCTGACTGCTCCATTCCCACTGCCTCCCTGTCCTGGTGAGCCCCAAGGTGTTCTTGCTGTCTTCCTGACAGCCACAGCCGTGGCCTCAGCCATGGCCACACCAAGCACATGCTCCATCACAAGCCACATGCAAATGTACCACAGATGTGCCCCTGGTCACCTAGCCACACAGAAGCAAACATGGTGCACAATTGCACATTATCACCACCACTTGCACATGATGTGACAGTGACACATGCTGTTGACGTTCTTTGCACACAGTCCCACACCATCTGGCTCCCTCTCTGGGGCTGATGCCTCTGGATCGCCTGAGAACCTGTCCTGCCCCCTGGTGGCCACTCCCCAAGCCACCGGGAGAACCTATCTACCTCCTCCTTGACCAGGTCCCTTTCCAAAGAAGCCAGCTTCAAACTGGACGAGTCAGACCAGCCTCCCCACTCCGATGGGTCCTGTCAGGCAAGGCCTTCTCAGATAGGATGGCCAATGGTCCCAGATTGCCTCAGACCAGCCTCCCCACTCCGATGGGTCCTGTCAGGCAAGGCCTTCTCAGATAGGATGGCCAATGGTCCCAGATTGCGTGGGACTGAGGGGTTTCCCAAGACTTGAAATATTCAGTGCGGAAACTGGGAAAGTCCTAGGCAAGCTAGACTAGCTGGTGATTCTGTTCTTCAGACACATCCATGTACCTTCAGATGTCTCTCTTCAGACTAGATCCATCAGACCAGGCTCCTCTGGACACACTTGAGATCACCCTACCTCCTCAGACTGAGCCTTTTAAACAAAATCTCTTCTGAAGCATGTCCCAGACCAGCCCCCACCTAGGGCTAATCCTATCCCACAGGTCCTCTCACACCATCTCTTTCAGACTAACCCTCCCCATCAGAGTGGCACCATCAGGTGGTGTCCCCTCCAGCCCTCCAGCCTCTCTCCTCAGACTGGCTCCATCTTCTCCCCCTCCTCTGAGAAGAGGCAAGGATGGAGGGAATAGATCCCAATCCCTCCGGCCCCCAGGACCTTAGCCCTGCCTCCCCAGACAGGTGCCATCTTCCAAGGGTCCAGTGGCTCTGGGCTGTGAGTGCAGGGGACATGTGGGTCTCAGGACATAAGACATGAAGGTGCAGGATGCGGAGCTGGGATTTGGAGCTAAGCATTCTGTTCTCTCCATGTGAGAGTAAATTATCTCAGAGTTCTCACCCACCAGGTAGTGAGCTCACAGGCTTGGAGGAGTTTTCAGGGGCGAGGCTATCTAGAAGGGACTCCTGCCTAATGCCTCCCTCCCTCCTAGCTGACTGCTGGGAACACAGACCAGAAGCAGGGTTTATGTGCTGGTAGCTGCCAGCCTGGGAGCAGTAATGAAGGGCAGGCGGGTGGCCGAGAGGGGGCAGCAGAAGCCAGGACAGCCCCTGGCTCAGGCCAGAGAGGAGCAGCGGCTATAGGCTGGGGTCTGGACGGGGGCAGGAACCTGGAGGGAGGCAAAGAAAGAGAAGTACCGACAGAGTCAGAGAGGAGAAACAGAGACAGAGATGGAGACGTATACAGAGGGACACAAAGACACGGAGATGGGGTGGAGACACGTGCAGAACAGAGATGTAGAGACAGAGAGACACAGCAAAGGGAATAGAGACACAGACAGAGAGAGGGGGAGAAAGAAAAGGGGAAGACTGACAGCTGGGAAGAGGAACAGAGATGTGAAGACAGGGATGGAGACAGAGAGAGGTGGATAAAGAGACAAAGAGGGAAGAAGAGACAAGAGACAAAAGATGGAGACCCACAGAGATGGGATAGAGACTTAAAGAAATGCAAAGAGAGGAACCAGGACAAAGACATACTGAGAGATGCAAATGGGACCAAAAGAGACAAATATAGAAATGGGAATGGGTTTAGCAAGAAGAAAAGAGTGGTTGGAGGGGTTGGGGGATGGTGTAGACAAGTCTAAGGTTGTAAGAATGAGGCAGACACACTGCAAGGAGAGAACAAGTTAGCAGGGGGCTGATAAGCCAGGAAACCCATCCACAGTGCACCATGGGGGAGCAAAGAAAACTAGGGGCTGGGAAAACTAGCATCTGGGTCTGGGAGCCAAGCCTTCCCCTCCCCCACCCCTCAGGAGTGTTAATTTTCCAGGTTCTGTCTTAGCTCCAAGTACTGGTGTCTATTCCTACACCTGGCTCCCCAGAACCAATGTGGGAAGTGAATGTGGAGGGATAGTACTCGAGAGAGCAGCAGCAGACAGCAGCCATATCCCTCCAAGGTGAATAGCCTCTGTGAGGTTGAGAGGCCAGGACCCCCAAGGAGGGATAATCAGCCCCTGGCCCAGTCCAGTCAGAGGCAATGACATTGCCCCTCTAGCCACCTTGGGCTTGGGACAGGCCTGGGGCCAGGGAGATAGATGTCCCGTCCTCCCTTCCATCAGCCTCTGAGGCTCCAGCAGGTCCCCTCCCCTCCTTCGGTCCCCTCCTCCCCAGGCCCCACATAATTGCTTTCCCATGTTGCTAATGGAGGCCAGATTGCTGATGCCCAAGCCCTGGGTGGGCGGTGGGTGGGTCAGGGCTGACCAGGGCTCTCAAGGAAGGAAGGTAGCACAGGCCTGAGACCCCCCTCACTTCAGTCCACCACCCCAATAAATAGAGAAAGGTGGAGGTTCTGACAAGTGTCAGGAATACAGTGTCCTTGGCAAGAGTGGCAACTCCCTGCTCTACCATGCTGGACCTGGAAGGTATGTGAAGGCCTGAGCCATCCCTCACAGGGACCAAACAGACACGCAGAACTGGGAGTTCAGCACACAGAGCGGGTCCACAGCCACTTCGCAGGCATCCACCTGACAGCCTCTTCCTGTGGATGCAGAGTCATGCACTCCCATACTGGGGACTATCCAGCTTGGGAAGCCTCAGTCCTCTCACGCCAGGCCTTTGCTTCCCCTGAGTCTCCCACCTAGAACACCCTCTTTTCCTCTGTCCCGGTAGAGAGCCCACCACCTTCCCTCTGGAGCCCCTCACCAGGCCCCAACTCAAGGTCTCTGTCTTGTCCAGGCCTGACTCATCAATGCTTGAGATACTGACAATCCCCTTTCCCCCACCAGGGCATGATCCCAGGTGGGCCAGCAAGACCAGTGCGGAGGGTCTATCTCTTGAGCCTGGTCTGAGAAGGGTGTTAATTGCGAGTGTGTGATAACATCAGGGGCTTGGGGATTATCGGAGCAGTACTCAGTACCTGCTATGAGGAATGTGTATCAAGGTGGACTCATCAGTGTGTACAGGGCTTTGGTTCCACCTCTCCTCCCTTTTCTTGCTCCAGGCACCCAGAACAAGGCCAAACCTAGCCCCCCAGGTTGTAACTCTGACCTATCCTTTTATCTCCACAGGGTCTGCCTCCTTGGCCCCTGCTCTGGACATTTTTGGCTAAGAAGCCTCAGTGAGGTGGCTTCTATAAGGAGGGCTGTACCTGAGGAAGCCTGGGGCAGCTATGGGTCACTCTGAGAAGTCAGAGACCCTGGAACCCCAGCTTGGAGACTGGAAGGGTTGTGGACAGGGCATGGAGCTGACCAAAGACTAGTCACCCTGTAAAACCAAATCCCCACCCCTCTCCAGCTCCACACTAAGTCCTGACTGTAACCCAACCCTGGAGGAAATCCTCTAACTCTGTAATGCCAGTCCTAGGGCACAGGCTCCATCCCTAATCACGTTCCAAGCAGCCTCCTCCTTCAGGCAGCCTCCCTGCCTGCCCAGGCCCAGGACACTTTGTGCTGAGCCCTCGTGGCCTGGCTGAGTCCTGTGCCTGACCTCCTATCACCCCTGGACTGTGTCTCCTGGGTGGCAGGGATGACACAACCCCCACCCCAAGGATGAAACCCGGTCTCCTCACCTTCCTCCACCTCTGACCCTGTGGTAGAGTTCAGGCCTGGGCACTCATGGAAAGTAGCTCCAGAGGTGACCCTTGTAAGGCCTCTGTCCAGGATAGGACTTCAGCAGCCTCCAGGACTGACTGAATGTGGGACCAACCCCCGTTGGGATCCCTCATTTTCCACAACGTTGCCCTTGGTCACAAACCTCTGTTCCAGAGAAGCCTAAGGAGAAAACAGTTACCGGATGCTTGAAAGCTGAACTGTCTCTCCCCATCTTCCCCAACCACAATTTCTTTCCTCCTCCAGGCCTAAAAGGGGAGGGGTCCTTAGAAGAGGGGTAACCTCTCAAAGTGGGTCTGTTCCAAGGACTCATGAAATGGTGACGTTTAATGAGAACCCCCCCACCCCCCACCCTGTATATACATCTATAAAAAATTCAAATACAGCAAGTTACCATTGAGTCAGACTAGAAGGGACTGACAGGGCATTAAATACTGTGGAGTAGGAGCAGGGGCAGGGGAGGGTCATACAAAACAGGGGCGGAGGTGAGGGGGCTGAAAAGTGTAGGCACTGGGGGGAGGGGGATGGCTGGGCCCCCCCAGCGTCAGGAGCTTATAATCTGATGGTGGCAACAGAGACCCTGGGACAGACAGGAGGCTGGGGCAGGAGGAGACACTGTGGATGTGAGAGGCTCCCCTCAGGCCCCCCAAGGGCTCCTGGGAGTCGCTGGCATTGGAGGGTCCAGCCCGAGGGGGCAGGGGGAGGAGGGGTCTTTGGTGGGTGGGTTAGCTGCATGGCCCCCCTCCCCTGAAGAAGGAAGGAGGGTCAGCTTGGTGTGGCGGGGCTAGGGAGCGGCAGGCCCGGGCCTGCCGG